TTCAAACAAAATGCCTGCCAATTAATTAAAAAAACAACCAAACCAAACAAATAATATATGCAGTTGAAGTGCACCTGGATGTTGCAACACTGCAGTGCCCCAAGGCAAGGGCCCGGAAAAGGGGCAAGACAACCAAAACCTTGTTTCCGTTATTCCAGTATGATGCTGGAGGCTGGTACAGGCTGGAGACACCTTTGGTGGCTGTGAAGAACTCCTGTGGACTTATTGGTACCTTAATAATGGATAACTGTTAAAGGAGAAGCTGCTGTCCAAGCACTGACACACCATTCATGGTGTCGCACACAAACACACACTCCCCAGCGCGCTTCCTGCTTCTTCAGGCTCGAGCCTAGGTTTCCCGCAGCAGTCTCAGGTGTCAGATTTTCTAATTAATTTAATGGAAAGGTACAGCAGCAAGGACAGCCCGGGCTGGGTGCCTCCAAAGAGAGGGACCCTGAAGAGAGAAATACCCTGGCGATCCACACACCTGCCCCTCACGTGCTGCCCACGCGGCTTTTAGTCCGATGGTGATTTTTGGTCTGGGGTCTTCTAACACCTAATTGGATTCTTTTTCTGTACCTGGGCAGGCAGGCTCTTATCTTGTTAATTCGCGGTTTCAGCTGAGGGTTGGGTCCTACTTATCTTCTGGTTTACGCTTCCCGTGCGCTCGTACTCGCTGGCGTAACATGGAGAACGGAAAAATCCCAGACTTGGGAAAAACACTACCAAACCATCAGTGTGACATCAACATCTTCCCCATACTAAAGGACTGAACACAGCGCCGTACCAGCTGCGGGGAAAATGACTAAGAAAAATAACCCTTATCGCGGCCTAAAGGTTTCAGCAAGCCTAACTCACGCCAAGTAAGTAAAGCCAGGGCAAACAGCACAAATCACCCCATCATCACGCTCCTCAGTCATTTCCCCTCATTAATACTTACTCACGCTAAACAACCAATATCCCTCAACGCTTAAGAGTTTGGGAGGCAGCAGCTCCGCCGAGCCCGAGGGTTTGGAGGGCGGCGGCGGCTGCTGCTTAACTCCCATTATGCCCCCTCAGACTGACCGACCGGCGGCTCCTCGGCCCTTCCCTCC